ATTGTAAAAACACTTGAAAAAAAAGAAAAAAAAAACTACTCGATCCGTATCTCTTGTGAGTATTTTATCTTTATTATGAATTTATGAGAGAGAGCATAGAATCTTCTAGAACTATTTCCATCTTCATCTCTTATCAATATCGAACTCAGAATATTACTTCTTTTCTCTCTCTCAATTTCTTGAAAAAATGCCTCAAAAAAAGAGCCGAGCAACCGACGGCAACGCCGTGAGTGTTAGAAAATGTTGCTGTTTAGACCGAATTTAACCCGAAAATCAGTTTTGAACACTTAATAAAAATCAGATAATGGCGGGTTAAAATTATAACACAGAAACGAAATTGAGTCAAAAGAAAATAAGTAAAGTTTAGAAATACAACCTGATGATCGAAGCGTGCATTAAGCACTGTCCTAAGAATCTAATTGCTCCATCTTGTACAGGACTTCGTGGCAATGGATCTTGGAGATACGACGACCCTCGGTCAGACGACCTCCTTCTCGTCGGCACGAGCTTCAAGAAGGTTTTGCGAACTCTTCACTACTTTCAGGGAACCAATAAAACGTAACAGCAAGAAGTTATAAATCGAAAGGGGAAGAACAAAGAAGAAGAGAGAAGAAATGTTGTGTTTGCACTGTGTTAGAGCTCTCGCGGCTGTAGATCATTTTATAGGGTTAAAGCCGGTGTTAAAGCCGTTCATCCTGCTCGTCATTTAAGTCCATAAATCTCGCATATTAATTATGTTAGCCGTTTGCATTCATCCAGCTACCCGTTTAGATCATTAATTCCCACAGCAATTAACACATTTTAATGCTAGCTGTTTTCTGTCATTTAGATCCACCAATCTCGCCCTCCAGATCCACCGATCTCTCCCATTAATGCTTAGCCGAACGTTGTTCATGTTTTAATTATTCCAATTAGAAAAATAATAATTATTCAAAGTGTAGCAGGTAAAGGGCCGAGTGTGCGCGCGCCTCCCGAGTTGACCCGACTCCGAGTCCGAACCCTCGAGGTGTCGACTCTCCTGAGCTGACCCGACTCCGAGTCCGAACCCTCGAGGTGTCGACTCTCCCGAGCTGACCCGACCCCGAGTCCGAACCCTCGAAGTAATAGACTGGGTGGCAACATCTATCGTGTCGACCAACACCGCCTTTTGAGTCGACACATGGGTGTCGTCTCGAAAGGTCGGTCGAGATATCAACTTATGTCGACACAGTGGGTGTCGACTGTCTCAATGTCTTGTTCGTTTGGTCATGTAGACTAACTCAGCCTTTCGTGTCGACCAGAAGATGACGTCTCGTCTCGTCTTGTTCATTTGGTCGTGTAGACTAACACCACCTTTCGTGTCGACCAGAAGATGTCGTCTCGTCTCGTCTTGTTCATTCGGTCATGTAGACTAACACCGCCTGTTTCGTCTATTTCGTCTCGTCTTGTCGTCTCGTTTGTTTGGTTGATACTAAACTTTCCCAAGTTTTAGTTACGATTCCAACAATCCTCCACATAACTTAAAACTTAAAATAATTCAGAAGTAAAAGAAAAACTTTGAAAATAAGATTGCTGGTTCCCTTATACTATATAATAGGTGGATGTACCTTTCGGTTTGAACCTTCACTTAGTGACAGTTGTATAGATCCGTGAAAGCTTGGTGGACTACGCCTTGAACCAGTCCCATTTATCGGATTTCTACAGAAAGCACACATTGTACAGTTTTGAAGAATTCTAAGCGGGTTGCGCTATTATCGGCCTTGCGCAGGTATCTTTCATGTGTGTTACTAGGGAGCAGTCCTGATCCTATAGTCGCGGCCTCACAACTACACACATATAGGTGAATCCTAATAAGGATGCGAACAAGTAAGCATCGTGCCTCATGGATCTTGGATTCATTAAGAGTTACTCAACCTTTCACTTGCTTTTTATGAGCACTGA